GACCTTATAATAATATAATGAGTTTATAAACATGTGCTTATATGTTTATATTAATAATTGGAGTATATAGTATCTACAGAGGAATCGAGTATAAAATGAATCTACTTCGATTTGGCCAACTCTCTACGGAAAGATATCAATATATCAAGATATAAATTAATCTTATTGTTATAGTTTACATATAGTTGTATGTTGTATATAGTTTACATAGACATCGAAACTGGCCAATGCCTCTAGAGGGGCTGAAGTAGCAGCACGTTGCTGGTTGCTGGATTATTGTTAGTATTACACACTAAAGTTTTATAAATAATGAAAATAATATTCGATACTCTTTCCAGCTCCATTATTATTTGTATGTGCTGAGAATCTATCGTTTGCTATATTTATATTTATATTTTATTACGTACATTTTTCTTTTATTTACTATATTTGTATGTCTTTAAAATCAAACAAACTTAATTTACTTCTGTGAATAACTACATTTATAATAGTATGATAACTACCTTTATTGCATTAGAATACCATATCGAGATTCTAGTATTAGCATTTGAAATCTGTCTGCTTTAAGGATACATTGATGGAGAAATTTCAAGTGCAAACTTAAACCTTAGGTTTCCGATGAGCTAAGACTCGGACTTATGTTGCGATGGTTTTTAGAGCTACACTACACAGAACTACACTATACAGTACAATAGTTTTCATGAATGTTTGTGGGAAACTTGTTCATCCTGTGTTAAAAGTTATACTTGAAATATTCAGCAAGGGAAAGTCTGTGATGGTGTTCAGTTGATCTTTAGTATCCTGTGAATAGGTTTTTAGCCTAGATTAATGCATAAATTCATATCTAAAATCTATTGTGTCTACTGCTAAGGTAGTTGGTGACTTACAAATTCTTAAAGCTGTGGATGCATGGGTAGTGTTCATGTCTCTATTTATAGAATCCCCTATTTATTTCAAGCATTTATACGATCTTTGTGTATTTGTATGTTCATGCCTGAGCAGTAAATGTATTTGCGTTGGCTGCATCCATAAATAAAGCAAATATTTTGGAAAAGCAAAAAATGATTTGCTTTCTGTTTGCCTTCCGTTTGGCACAAATTTGAGAAGTTCGTGAAAAAGCTGAGCGCTTCAAGTGCATTAAATCTCTCACGTTGGCTACAGCTGCATAGCAGCTGCCACGCCCCCCTTGTATATGGAATGATTCCTGCGCCCGATTCCCGCTCGATTCTGGCTCGTGCAGAGGGGCGTGGTGGGGCGTGTGTTGCTTGATGTTTGCCTGCTGCACTTAATGTAATTAATTTTAATTAAAATCCAACATAATGAGGCGCTCCGAACTGCCGCGAAAACAGAAAAAATTACCACCGTAATGAGCAAGTCGCCCGGACAGAATCTTTTTTTCGGTCCATAGATATTCGCGCCTGGAGATGCAAGCGAAAAAAAGAAGAAGAAGAGTGCAGCATGCTTTTTAGCGCGGCTGTCCATGGATTAAGGCAAATAGAAAGCACAGACGAACCACAGCCACACATACATGCATAGCAGCTGGCAGTGAGTGTATGTGTGTGTGTGTGTATACGTGTGTGCGTGTGAAAGTGTGTTTCCGTGTTTGTTTAGCTGCTGGCCCGTAAATTTACGTTACAACTAGGATGAAGCGTTTGGTAAACATTTTAAAGTTGGCATTTAAATTATGTTGCCGATGTGGCCGCTGCTCAGATGCTGCGCAGGAGTCGGGGCCAGCCGAAGGGAAAGATGCTGAAAGGGCACATAATGCGTAAGTGTGTGTGTGTGGGTGTGGGTGTGGAATATAGAAAGTGTGTATTTCAATTTCAAGTGCAACAAACAAGAGGCTTTCACATTGATAGGAATTGAAACATTCCCTGCAGATACATATTTGTATTGAGAGTTGATTTTCTATCAGAAGGTATAGAGGCAGCATCTACATAATACATATTTAATATGGATTTATGTAGATATAAAGCTAGGTAAATTGTTGTTACATCTCTTAAGTAATCCTCTATTCATATTCGAAATTCTGAATATTTTTGACAAGATTTAAGATTATCTTTGCATTATCAGCTGATATCTCATTATAATTTGGACAAATTTATGATTTGTTAAAGTATCTTAAATGCGACAGATGCCAGCAGTTTGATATACATACAATACATCTATTGATTATATGGTAACTCCACATCGCCAGAGCTGATCTTATACATATTAATTCTAAATTATGAAGACAAATTTAAAAATCTTGTATCAGCTGTTTTTAATGGAGCTCGGAATCTCATTAGACGACAAAGCTTGTCACGGTTCTTGGAACTGCATATAATATCAGATGTTATATAGAAATGATTCTCAGCCTTATCACATGCCGTTTTACTTCTGGGCAGGACAAAGCGCAACAAATCCTTTTCACTTTTCACACAATTTACGGCAGGGCAAACTGATTACGACTGCACGAGCAGAACACATGACAGACAGACAATAGACCATACTTACATGTGTGCACACTCACACTCGCACACACACCAACACACACACTAACACACACCTTTACAAATCACATCACATAAGCTGCGTTGGCTGCCCTGGCAAGCCTTCGCACGCCCCCTTTCCATACAGGAGTATTGACAATGCGCGCTACACACAAGAGTCCTGGCAGGAGGCGCTTGCTCTTTGGCTGCACTCGCTGCCTCCGCTGGCTGCGCTGCGTTTTAGCCGGCAGCTGTGTTGCACTTTTTGTGCCGCCATTTGCGCTATAAACAAATAAAGTGTTCCTGCAGCTCAGGTTCGCTTCTTTTTTGTGTTTTTGCGGGCCTTCTGCTCAGACGTTGCATTTGTGTGCCTCCGCCTCGCCCGCCCCCGATTCACGCGCTGCTGCACAAAGTAAAGTCGGCATTTGTCTGGATCCCTTTCGCCCCGCCACCAACTATACCACAAATGCGATAGCTCTCGACCCGTCCACGAATAGAAAAATGCAGCACGTATTTGTTTAAATTTAAACAGCGCACAGCTCACAGACAATTTAATATGGAGTTGGGCCAACACTTGCCCCTAACTTGAGCCAGCGGGATCGAAGCGCTAATCACCGAGCTGAGCCAGCAGCCAGCGGCTAAGCAAATAAGCAGCCAAAACCTTAGAGCAAACAAACTCAAAGCCAAACGCTGATTATGCCAATAAGGATAATGCTGCCAATGCGATTTTGCCAAATGTCAACAGAAACACACACAATTTTCCAAGAGCTGAGCATCATTTTTGCACCACTCACGCCCACGCACACAGAGAGAGAGAAAGAGAGAGAGTGAGAGAGAGAAAGAGAGAGACGGGAAGAGAGGGAGCAGGACTAGTGAAACTCCAACACAGACTTCGCCTAATCACATGCAAAACGTCGGACCGGAACGAGTGCGAGTGGGCGGGGGGTGCGGGTGGGAAACACCAAACGTCAGCTGAAACTGACAGTGGCGCAGTGTCAACCGGCTGCAGTTTTTGCGGCGCTCGACAAAAGTCAAGAGCCTGGAGGACAAGGGCAGCTCTGTGGCGGTGGCAGCATAACATTAATTAAGTTTGTAACGACAAATGCCAACACGACAGAGACGTAAACACACACACAGACACACACACACACACACACACACACAGACACGCACACACACACACACATATTGGCATACTTACACATAAATCAGGCAAAACGCATACAAATGCGCAGCGAGAGCTCAAAGGATGTTTTGGAGCATGACAAGTGGTGACAAAGGGGCGTCAGGTGGGGCAAGTGGGCGAGGGAAATGGCAACGCTGGCTGCTTGAATGCCATGACAACGTTAATTTTATAAACTCTGCAGCATTTGGGATCTCAAATTCTGCCAGCTTCTGCGTGAAAACGAGGCTCAAACTCTCTGGCCCCGTTGTCTTTGCTTGCGAGCTATGAAGTTGGCCCACTACTGCGGAGTCATTAGCTACCAACTTAATGTCTCTTAATATTCGGGAATGACTAAAAGCGTCTGCATGTATTTAGTATTTATACAGTATATTATAAGCGTTAATTTACCAATGGGAGGGCCTTCAACTTTTAATTACCTACACTCTAATCTGGTAGCATCACGAGCGCCACTCTCTATATGTTTGAAGCTGAATGAACACCAAGCTATGAGGAGCCTGTTTGTCGCCAATATTATGGACTTGTTCAATATGTTTTAAGGCAAGAGCCGTCCTTACCATAAGTCTAGCATATATTTAGACGCCAGTATCCTGTCACCTAACCAGGCTGTAACGACACGAGGTACATTCGGCCACCTTCTTTGCTTCTTTTGCGCAACACAGAAGTTTTCTTAGAGTGTACTTCGCAGACAAAGAAGAGGTCAAAATATTCTTATAGATTTTGAGATTTAGACCTATATAAGTACTGCACCGTCGAGACATGTCTTTTGAAGGTGGGGCTCATTTGTCAGCAACATAATTTGCATATTACTTTACTTAATTTATTGCCATACATTTTTCCCTCCAGTAAATATTTCTTAGTATAGTTTGACTTAAATTATAAATCTAATCAAAATTTCATTCACTTTTACGTATGTCAATAATATTTAATATTTTATACATTGTTTTCTACAAACACAATTAACTAGAATTACCAACAAAATCAAATACACTATATGAGCTCTCTTCAAAACTGCTTTACTGCTGAAGTAGTTGACTAGCTCACCTCATGTTCAGGGCTAGCCTCAATTTAATGAAAATGTTGCATGCTGCAATTAAGAAAGCTAACGCCGGTGAAACTTGAATTTGTTTACACGACGCAGCTCAGTCCTTCGCTCACTTGCAACTTGATGCGGGCCTCGCTTTGGGTACAGCTGAAAGATAAATACGTGAATGCACAGGAGTTTTTGCGGAAGTAGCAAAAGAGTCGCAATACCATCAAGATACACCATAGATTAATATATAGAGCTAACCTGTTAGTTATTATTGTGAAGTTATACAATTGGTGCTTTCAATTTATCTTTGCAGAGCTTGGCTTAAGCGGAACTCAGCTTCTCTTTATGCGCACAGAACAGCCTTGAAATCATGAGCTATCAGAAGGGTAAGTAGCAAATGATCAACCTTTCTGCATATGACATCTACAATAATAGGGGGAGTGGCTCTGGGCTGCTCGAATGCCGAATCATACAAATCAACTGCCATTTGGCAGAGCCCATCGAAGCAAACATCGAATGCATAGCGAATCAAAAATTAGTTTGGCCCAAACAATTTATAAAAGTCCGCCACATTTGCTATCCATTTATATGGCATGCTCGGTTTATCTTTCGTTTTCGACTACGCTTTCCTTTTCTTTCTGTGCGCTGTGTGTTGTCTGCAATACAATTTACAGTAAATCAAGTAGAAATGAAATTTACGCGGGTCATTCTCAAACAATTTGCTAGCGCATTAGCCAACAAAAGATAAAAATGCGATGAAGCATTCAGGCAAGACGCGCCAGCAGACACGATGTAGCACGACTTGCACCGTTGTCGGCTTCGATATCTGTCGATGGGGCCATTCGGAGTGGACTCCGGGCTCATAGAGTACTATACAGTAATGGACCGATTGACAGCGGAGCAATCGCTGTTTGGGGCATGGTCTTGCCTCATATGAACTTTGGCCTAATGAGCTTGCATGAATCTGCGATTCGTCGATGCGCTCCATTGAGCTGGCAGCGCTTGTTAGGGCTTTAGGCCGCTGCCAACTAGTTTCGATTGTAACTGCCGTTACACGAATCCAAAATGGCGGACCCAGTGGCTTAGAGCGCGGCTTTCGCTGCGCCGCGGCGTTCAATTAACTTGTGCGACAATCCAATCAAAAGTGTATTAAAGGCCCGTTTACAGCCGTTTACAGCCGGAACAACGAGGCCATTTGGGTGGGCGCTTGTCGATAACAGCAATTACATAAATGTTTTTATGGCCATGCAGTGTGCGAGGGCGTGGCGGGGGAGTGGCGGCGTCCCCCGTGAACTGCCTACAGCAACGACAATGCGCTTTAATGGCATCGCCAGCTGCAGCTGCTGCAGTCAAGGCGATTTTTATGGCCACCATTGCGAGAGGTTTGGCAATTAAAGCTGAAGCTGGAATTAATAAGTATACGAGGTGTTAGCCGACGATATTCTTTGACTTGACATAAAATAGATGAGAGCAGAAAGTGGGGAAGAAAAAAGATAAGCAAAAAAGAATTTCATTATAAATTACGGAGTGTATACTGTGGATTATATATGACCTGATTGAATATGAGCAGATTGATCGAAAATAAAGAAAGAAAGCAAGAATCCTTAATCAGCATGTTGTGGAACAGTTGTCTATCGATTACTGAGTATATACTGTGGATTATAGATGATAATAATTGAGCTAGAGTTAGATTAGATTAATAACGATGTTACTAACATTAGCATTGACTTTAATCGGGCCATAGATAAGGCTACTCAATTGGCAGCCCAGGATAATGCAATAAGTTGTGAAAGCTTCCTTCGAGTCGGATTCCAATCTAAATAATGCCTAAATATAAATTAAGACGCATAGAAAAACAATCATTACAGTTAGTGGGCGCATTGGCCAATTTCGATTAAAGAAACAAAAGTAAAACTAACTTTTACTTACCCATTCATAATGCGATGGGATGGCGGGGTAGAGTGGCAGTGGGAGTGGTAGTGGGAGTGGACTGATATGTGAAAGGTCTAGGCAGAAGACGCACGTATGAGATTTCTTATTTACGATAGAGAGACACACAAAAAATATCAAAATGGCAAAAACAAGAAAAGAAATTGCACACAAATACCTCACTCCCGCAGCACTATCAGCCGCCCCAGCCGCACTTGGGAGCTAGTCAAGCAGAAAAAGGGCAACGGGGACACAAAACCAGCGACAGTAAAAAGGCCAAATATTGAATTGTGCGTAATTTACGATAAAAAGGGGAAAATTGGAAAAGTTTCTGCGCCTCCATTCCCTTCCGTACCGCCCCGCGTCGGTTGTGAGGGGCCCCCTCGAGCATCTTTTGTCGTTCGCTTATTTATGTAGTTCGTGTCGAGAGGGCAACGCACGTGTGGACCAGGGGCGGGAGGAGCTGCAGAGTTTTTGCTGCAAAAGAAAATATAAATTGTGATTGCCTGAATTTAGGAGCACATAGGCATATTATGTCTGTGTGTGTCTATCTGTGGGTGTGTGTGTGTGGGTGTGTGTGTTTCTAACCAATTGAGACATTCTTATTAAATATTGCAAGTATCCGAATAAATAAAATGGGTGCGTAAGCCGTTGCCAAGGAGTTTTACATGTGAGGCATTAGCACAGATATTCCATAAACGAGCATAAATGCTTGGCTAGGGAATTCGATAATTCGATTATAGGTCCCAAAGGCTGTTGGGATCCGAGAAACAGTGATGTGCGCTTAAGGTGATTAATTTGCAGGTAGTCAAGGAGAGGATTATGTTTGTTATGCCATCAATTCGAGTTAGATAAGAATTTGACAATTTATTTAATACATATATTAAAATTATTATTTTATATTCGTATTCATATTATTTTATACTAATGCTGCAATAATATAGCTCAAAAATATTTCATATAACTTATAAATTACAAGTTTTACAGCCAAACATTAAAATAAAAAAATAATTTAAAATTGGGAACGTACGAGTATGTATTGTATTAAATGAATATTTAATTATTTGTATAAATAATTATGTAATAATTAAGTATTAATTTATTATTAAAATTATATTTAATACATTATTATTAAAATTATTAATAATACATTGTAAATAATTGTATATGAATTTATATACTTATATGTTAATGAATATTTTATTTTATGATGTTTAGATGTTTTTAATTATTATTATAATTATTTTTTAATAAATTTAATATAAACTATTATTTTCGGATAAGTCAAGATTTGGAAACGCTCAAGTCTAGCTCTAGATCTAAAGCCTCTTTAGCATTTACTTTTCCCTGTGCATTGTGATCTTCGCTATATTATTTAAGTTTGGATTCTTGCAACGGAGCAGCTTAAAGCAAATCAAGAGTAAATATCGGAAATATCGGAAAAACTCTATAAACATATATAAACTTGATGGCATAAATATGCGCTTACAAAAAATATATTTGCGAGTTTATTAAGGGCTGAAAATATGCGTTTGTCTTAATAGACTAATGGGGTCTACCACCTTTTCTGCCATCATTTTCCATTATAGCTATAAAATATAAACAGATATATATTTTTTTTTTTTTTCGATTTGCTGTGGTTTGATTTAAGACTTTCAGATACCCTGTTTGCAGTCTCTGTCCGATTATTAAATATTAAATAGTACTTAAAATTTAATACTATTATTTCTAGTTCCTCAGATGAAGTTGAGCCAATTGAAAATTACATAGCTAACTGGGCTATGGAGGCACAGCTATTCCCCTCTGCATTCCCCTGTCACATACACATTTACAATTCAAGCAATGCCCTTTTTACCCATTTCAAATGGGCATAGGGTATAAAGAGCATGTATTAAAATGGTTGTTTCTGCTGCATACAAAATCAGTGTATGACAACGACCTCAACACGTCGCCTGTTGGTAGCCCTATGCCTTGTCTGGCCACACTCAAACAAATGCCATGGGCCGCGGCAGCTGCATCTACACACCCACACACACACACACACAGACGAGTGCGTGTGAGTGTGTGTGTGTGCCCAATTGTATGCAACGGCTTTTGTGTCAAATTTTTATGCCATGCATAGCACGCAAACGTGTGCGAAAACGTAGACCCAAAACTACAGACACTGCAGCAGCAACAACAACAACAACAACAGCAGCAACAACAACAACAGCCTGCGTAGTAAATTGAAAGACCGAAGACAGAAGTGGTAGACATGCTCGGTAGAGGTAGAGGGGGCAGAGCACAGTAGAGTCGATGGAGGAGCACAGTGATTCAATTAAATCAGTCCAATTGAAGCAACTGACAAAATGTCTGTGCGTGTGTGTGAGTGTGAGTGTGAGTGTGTGTGTTTGGGTGTGTGTACGGAATATTTAAGCTGGCTGAGGCTGCGGTCCTGCAGCAGGACATTGACTGCCGTAGTCGGTGCACTCGCTGTTTAAATTTCAGCTTAAAGTCCGACTCACTCGTTAGCAACAACAACAACAACAACAACTTCATTGTCAGGGCACCGGCTCGGGCCAAATGTTGCTCCGAAAAAGTTGTCGCTTGTCGCATTTTATACAAATAACTGCACATTATGTTTGCGCAACACTTGCGCAACATTTTTTAATGTCTCGACACTTTTTGCCACATGTTGAAATCAACGAACCGGCCAACAACAGCAACAACAACAACAACAACAACAGCAACAACAACAACACGTCCCATCGACTGTGACTTCTGTCGGCTATCGTATTAATATCTCAATTTATAGCAATTTATAAAAATATGAAACACGCCGATAGGCTTCAAAAACGTTGAACGTCGAAGGGGGGCGCCAACAAACGTCAGAATGATGCAAATAACATTTAAAAGCGTACACATACATATACACACATACATACACATACACACATATTTAAATATTTTTTATTTTTTCCCCTGTTTGGCCATCGCCAGTTGGAGCTAACGAAGGCAATGGAGCCGCCACTGGGGACTCTGAGCGGAATCATTTTAGCGCAGTTGTTCGCTTTAAACGAGGGGGCTTTAAGCGAAGCTGTTGCACAATAGATTTTAGATATATGAAATGCATGAGAGTAGAGAATAGTCTTTAACGAGAACGGCCAAATAGATTTGTAGTAAATTTACGAATTCTGATAGTGTGTTCACACATCCAGTTTGCCAGTTATTCGTTTTCATGGTGTAATTCCAATCAGTCGGTTCCACTGTGCACTGCCTTCTGCTGGTGGAGGCGAAACTTTTTAGCAACGAGCATTTTCTGTGTGAAAATCACTCAAAATTGTGTTTAACTAAGCGTAAAAATTATAAGCAAATTAATTTGCAAAATCACAACAACAATAGTTAGTTGGGCGGTTCCAGCAAAACTTTTGTGAAACAATCAGCCGAGCAGCCCCGACACTCCGGCTAGTTCCGTTGG